AGATGAGGGCAGACCCAGGTGGGCCTTACACAGTTCTTGAGTTGAGAGACTGTCCTGAAGCAGAGTAGGAAGAGGAGGACATAGACCTGGGTGGGAACTCTTTCTAGGTTGTGTCAGTGATGAGGAGAGAGATTAGGTGTTGGTCTGAGAAAGAACCAATGGACATGGGAGGTTTTTATTTTTGATAGAATACCTGTGAAATATCCCATGCATGAATGTATTCTAATTTATATGTAATGTTAGAAGAATAATAAAATGAGCACTCATTTACCCATTACCAGACAGAAAACCAGTGTTTTGGGGCTCCCCTATGTGCCTCCCCCATCACATATCCTTCCTGTCCCCCAGAGGTAACCACACTGGGAGTTAGGGCTTCAACATACGGATTTGGGCAGGACACAAATCTGTTCATAGCAAACATGAAAACAGATAGTTCCAGCAATGTGAGTCTTTATTGTTTGAGAAAGGCTGGTTTTTTTTAAAGCCCTTCACTTGACTGGGTGTAAATCTATCATTTAACTCATTCCTGTCATTCTGCTTGCTTTGTTTTGTTTTGTTTCAACATGTTTTCAAAGTCAGGTTTTATGTACTTTATTATATAACATTGCTAAAAGCAGTTTTGGCAGGAACTAGCTAATTCTCTGTAGCTCTTCCACTTGACTTATGCAAAACAGAACTGTATTTACAGGTTGTTAGGCCCCTCTTTTTGTACTTCACAGCTGCTCAAACAATAAGGTGTTTTCAGCTCTTTCGATATGAGGTGTGGTTGCTTTGGGTAATGTTAAAAGAATGACTAAATTTTTAAAAGGAAATGCAGAATTAAAAATGCCTATTTATATTATACAAACACTCATCTCTCAGATTAATGTCTCCATGTTTTAGAATTTCTGATCATTAAAGTTAAAAGCTGTTTTTAATCTTGTGTAAATCTATCATTTAACTCATTCCTGTCATTCTGCTTGCTTTGTTTTGTTTTGTTTCAACATGTTTTCAAAGTCAGGTTTTATGTACTTTATTATATAACATTGCTAAAAGCAGTTTTGGCAGGAACTAGCTAATTCTCTGTAGCTCTTCCACTTGACTTATGCAAAACAGAACTGTATTTACAGGTTGTTAGGCCCCTCTTTTTGTACTTCACAGCTGCTCAAACAATAAGGTGTTTTCAGCTCTTTCGATATGAGGTGTGGTTGCTTTGGGTAATGTTAAAAGAATGACTAAATTTTTAAAAGGAAATGCAGAATTAAAAATGCCTATTTATATTATACAAACACTCATCTCTCAGATTAATGTCTCCATGTTTTAGAATTTCTGATCATTAAAGTTAAAAGCTGTTTTTAATCTACCTTGTTTTCCTTCAACCTACTTTTTCAATTTTTGTTTGTGTATAACTTTTGCAGAAAATTAACTTATTCTGAGTAATTTATTTTTAAAGCAGATTTTTGTGTTTTGTAGGTAGGGGAAGCTCTCAAGTTTGTTAATTTCTGAGTCAAAATGGAAGCAGTATTTTTTATGAGGAGTTGATTCAGATAAAATATTATATTATAGATAATCAAGGAATAAAAAATGTTCTAAATATCCAAAGAATACCCTGGATAAGAGCCCTCCCATGTAACTTTGTGAGGGAGGAGCATTTGACATGTAATACACTGCTTGGACTTCGACGTAGGGAATCTGAATCATTTTTCCTTTTAAATAAACTCCAGTGGAAGCATTACAGGCTTCAGATGTTAGTAACTATTGTGGATAAATGTTAATTGATATAGGAAATTGTTAGTAGTGAATGAAAAAAGACTATTAGACTATACATGGGACAATTCACAAAAAAATATTTGGGGGTTTTATATTATCAGTTTTAACAATAATTATTTCTAAGTAATGATGGGATTATGAGTGACTTTTTTTTCGCTTACCTGGCATTTTTCATCTCTTCCTTTAAAAAATTCTTTAGTGAGGTATAATTTACATACTATAAATTAACCCTATTAAAATATATGATTAAGTGTTTTTTAGTATATCCAGAATTGTGCAACCATTAACACAATTTTGGAGTATTTTTATTACCCCCCAAAAAAACCCTGTTCCCATTAGTAGTCACTCCCCATTTTTTCCCAGCACTCCCAGCCATAGGCAAATCTTCCTTTTCTCTTTACAGATTTGCCTATTCTAAACATTTCATAAAAATGGAATGATACAATATATGGTCTTCTGTGTTTGACTTCTTTCACTTAGCATAATGTTTTCAAAGTTCATATACTCTGTAACATGTATCAGTACTTCATTTTTTTATGGGTGAATAATATAATTTTGTATGGATATATCACATTTATCCTTGTCAAAAATCAATTGCTGTAAATGTGAGGGGTTATTTCTGTTCCATTAATCTATATGTTTGCCCTTATGTCAGTATCACATAGTCTTGATAGCTGTTTTGAAATCTGAGGTATGAGTCCTCAGTTTTGTTCTTTTTTTCAAGATTGTTTTGGCTATTCTGGGTGTCTTACATTTCCATATAATTTTAGGATCAGTTTGTCAGTTTCTGCAGAAATATCAGCTAAGATTTTGATAGGATCACATTGAATCTGTAGATCATTTTGGGGGAGTGTTGCCATTTTAATATCAACTTCTCTAATTAGTTCACTGTTCTTTAATTTCTATCAACACAGTTGAGGTTTTCAGATGACTGGTTTTGCATTTCTTTTTAAAAATGTTTTGCTGGGGATTACGCTCCCTGACTTCAAGCTCTACTACAAAACCACAGTAATCAAGACAATTTGGTACTGGCACAAGAACAGACCCATAGACCATGAAACTGACTAGAGAGCCCAGATATAAACCCAAGCATATATGGTCAATGAATATATGATAAAAGAGCCATGGATATACAATGGAGAAATGACAGCCTCTTCAATAACTGGTGTTGGCAAAACTGGACAGCTACATGCAAGAGAATGAAACCGAATTATTTTCTAACCCCAAACACTAAAGTAAACTCAAAATGGATCAAAGATGTGAATATAAGTCATGAAACCATTAAACTCTTAGAAGACAACATAGGCAAAAATCTCCTAAATATATACAGGAGCAACTTTTTCCTGAACACATCTCCTTTGGCAAGGGAAACCAAAGCAAAAATGAACACATGGGACTACGTCAAACTAAAAAGCTTCTGTACAGCAAAGGATACCATCAACAGAACAAAAAGGCATCCTACAGTATGGGAGAATATATTTTAAATGACATATCTGACAAGGGGTTTAACATCCAAGATATATAAAGAACTCACACACCTCAACAACCAAAAAGTAAATAACCTTATTAAAAAATGGGCAGAGGATATGAACAGACACTTCTCCAAAGAAGAAATTCAATGGCCAACAGCCACATAAAAAGATGCTCCACATCGCTAATTATCAGGGAAATGCAAATTAAAATGACAATGAGATATCACCTCATGCCAGTTAGGATGGCCAGCATCAAAAAGACTAAGAACAACAAATGCTGGCGAGCATGTAGAGAAAGGGGAACCCTCCTACACTGCTGGTGGGAATGTAAGCTAGTTCAACCATTATGGAAAGCAATATGGAGGTTCCTCAAAAAACTAATAATAGAAATACCATTTGACCCAGTAATTCCACTTCTAAGAATTTACCCTAAGAAAACAGGAGTCCAGTTTCAAAAAGACATATGCACCCCTATATTTATCACAGCACTATTTATAATAGCCAAGATATGGAAACAACCTAAGTGTCCATCAGTAGATGAATGGATAAAGAAGATGTGGTATATATACACAATAGAATATTATTCTGCCATAAGAAGGAAACAAATCCTACTATTTCAACAACATGGATGGAGCTAGAGGGTATTATGCTCAGTGAAATATGCCAGGTGGAGAAAGACAAGTACCAAATGATTTCCTTCATTTGTGGAATATAACCACAAAGCATAACTGAAGGAACAAAACAGCAGCAGACTCACAGACTCCAAGAAGGGACTAGCAGTTACCAAAGGGGAGGGATGGGGGAGGGTGGGTGGGGAGGGAGGGAGAAGGGGATTGACAGGTAATATGACGAGTACACATGGTGTGGAGTGGGATCATGGGGAAGATAATGTAGCACAGAGAAGAGAAGTAGTGACTCTGTGGCATCTTGCTGCACTGATGGACAGCGACTGCAATGGGGTATGGGGGGACTTGATAATATGGGTGAATGTAGTAACCACATTGTTTTCCATGTGAAACCTTCATAAGAGTACATCAATACTACCTTAATAAAAAAATTACATGAGAAATGTATTGCTAAGATTTTTATCTTTTTGATGAAATTGTGAATGGAATTGTTTTCTTAATTTCATTTTTAGATTGTTCATTGCTACATTTTTGTATATTGATCTTGTGCCCTACAGCTGTGCTAACTCATTTATTAATTCTAATAGATGTAGTGGATTCCTTTGGGGTTTTTTTTAATACAAGATCATGTCATCTGCACACAGAAGTGTTTTACTTTCTCCTTTTTGGGTGTCTTTATTTTTTTTTCTAGACTAATTGCACTGGCTAGAATCTGATACAATGTTGAACAGAAGTAGCAAAATCAGATCATCTTTTTTTGATGCCATTCTTTTGAAATTAATTACCTTTTTAGTTAGTCTCATCATTTCAAGCTACTTGCTATCGTTAGTTGAGAGCTTGGAAGAGGGCTTGGTGTGAAGAGTGAGAGAAGGCTAGGGATCAATACCAGTTTACCAGCTTTAGGTACTCAGCCCTGGAGAACTGCAACTTTTTTGTCTATACATTTACATTTATATATTTTTACATAATAGATAATTTGAAATAGGCATACATTACTTTGTAGCTTCTGTTTTTATCAGTAAAGTTGACACACGTTTTCATATGAATGTGCAATCCAGAGGTCCTCTTTAGGCAACTAGTTTTCTAGTAGCCTGGAATGGGATTAAAAAAATGCACTTGCACATAACTTTTTTCCCCCTCTCTTCTGCTGTAGAAATTGGTGTATTAGCCAAGACTTTCATTGACCAAGGGAAGCTCATCCCAGATGATGTCATGACTCGGCTGGCCCTTCATGAGCTGAAAAATCTCACCCAGTATAGCTGGCTATTGGATGGTAAGTGGAGTGTTGGGAGCACTTCAGCTGCCGGATTGATGAGTGTGGTCAGGAGAATGAGCACCTCATGGGCTATAGACAGACATCATAGGTGGTGGGCCGAGGGCCTGAGTACAGCCACTTACCACCTTGAGGCCTTAGGTCAGTCATCTTTTCTGGGCCTCTTTCTTTATCTGAATGGAAAGAGGGAAGTGGACTGCACGATTTCTCAGCTCCTTTCAGTTGTGCCTTTAGCTCCTTCCTGCTCCTCTGAGAATATTTGATGACAAGGGAGCATCACCACAAAAGAAAGAAGGAAGGCTGGCAGGAACTTGAGGCTGGCAGCCTCAAGCACAGGAAATTCTGACTCCTGTTTAGGGCATTGAACTTCCCCCAGCTGTAAACTTCCCCCAGCCGGAGGTGTGGCAGAGCCCTTGAGGGTAGGTTGATTTTTCATTTCTAAAAGAGAAAGAGAACTATTTGTTATAGGGAATAGGCTCACGTGATTATGGAGGCTGACAAGTCCCAAGATCTTAGGGGGTGATTTGGGTTGCTGGAGCCCTAAGAATGCAGATAGGTGTATAGTTCCAGGCTGGAGGCCAGGAGGCTTAAAGCCCAGAGGAGCTCATGTTTCAGTTTGAATCTGAAGGCAGGAAAAGCCTATGTCCTGTTCCAAGGCAGCCAGGTAGAAGGAATTCCCCCCTTTTCTCTTGGGGAAAGGGGTCCTGCCCTATTGTTCTATCCACATCTTCAGTGCATTAGATGAGGCCCACTCTCATTGGGGAAGACAATCTGTTTTACTCAGTCTACTGATTTAAATGTTAATCTCACCCAAAACACCCCCCACAGACACACCCAGAATAATGTTTGGCCAAGTACTTCAGCACCCCAGCATCCTGTGGCCCAGTCAAGTTGACACATATAATTAATCATCACAGTTGCCCTCTAGCTGTGATCAGCCTGCCTGGTGTTATTGCTTTTGTTCAGACTGCTCAACATTAATGAATTCTCTTCCTCTTCCGTCCCTCCTTTCCTTCCTTTGCTCTACTTTTTAATTTGTAAAGGTTTTCCAAGGACACTTCCGCAGGCAGAAGCCCTGGATAAAGTTTATCAGATAGACACAGTGATTAACCTGAACGTACCCTTTGAGGTCATTAAGCAACGTCTCACTGCTCGCTGGATTCATCCAGCCAGTGGTCGAGTCTACAACATAGAGTTCAACCCTCCCAAAGCTGTGGTAAGTAGGTGTGGTAGAGCTAACCTGGCCTTCTGCCCAGCAGACTATTGCTGATTCCTCTTACCCTCACAACCATAAGATTTTTTTTTTTGGTGTCTTTAATCTACAATTACAAGGAACATTATGTTTACTAGACTCCCCCCTTCACCAAGTGCCCCCCACATAACACTTAAGTCACTGTCCATCAGCATTGTAAGATGCTGTAAAATCACTACTTGTCTTCTCTGTGTTGCACAGCCCTTCCGGTGCCCCCACCCCACATTATACATGCTGATCATAATATCCCCTTTCTTCTCCCCTGCCCTTCTCCCTCCTTTCCCTTCCCACCCATCCTCCCCAGTTCCTTTCCCTTTGGTAACTGGTAGTCCTTTCTTGGGTTCTGTGATTCTGCTGCTGTTTTGTTCCTTCAGTTTTTCCTTTGTTCTTATACTCCACAGATGAGTGAAATCATTTGGTACTTGTCTTTCACTGCCTGGCTTATTTCATTGAGCATAATACCCTCTAGCTCCATCCATGTTGTTGCAAATGGTAGGATTTATTTTCTTCTTATGGCTGAATAATATTCCATTGCCTCACAGCCATAAGTTTTATGACCTGTGGATATATATCCTGCCCCTGATCGAAGCACTGGAGGGTATATTCTCAGGTTACTTGATGTAGTTGATTGATATAGTCCACTCAGTTAGTAAAAGCCCTAGGAGCAATAGGGCTTTGTTATTCATTCAAAAGCATGTACTGATTTCTTACTTAGTGCCAAAGAATGTGTTAGGAATTGGGGTAATGGAATTACCCCATGGCTTATTTAGGGCTTGCAGTTGAGATGCCAGTCTGTCGCTAAATCATTTTGTGTATGTGTGTATGTATGAAATTATTTAGAGGCTGCTTAGACAACCTTCTACACTAACAAGAAAGTGCCTGATGCTGGAAATGACTGTGGACTCTCATGGCCCTGTGTTGCAATGATCTGTATTTGGATTTGGTTCTCTTTATACAAAAGCAGTTTTGTGCTTGGCACTTGTGTAGACAAGGTGTCCGCTTATAAATCATTTAATTGCTTATAAAAATATCTCTCAAAAATAAGATGCTTGATACCATGCTCTTCTAACTCCTGTTTAGGGCATTGACGATCTGACTGGAGAGCCTCTCATTCAGCGTGAGGATGACAGACCAGAGACGGTCATCAAGAGACTGAAGGCTTACGAGGTCCAAACAGAGCCAGTCCTGGAGTATTACCGGTGAGTTTGTCACTTTTCAGAACTTCTGTTGTATGATGGAGCACTAAGTTTTTGATCATCTGTGCTTTTCAGCTGAAATGCTAAAATATCAAAAGATCCATTTTTAGTTGGTTTAAAAAATACAGGAAATTTACTAGCGTGGGTAACAGAGAAGTCCAAAAGGTAGGTTGGGCTTCAGTCGCCCCCCAGGTTTGATCAGAGTTGCCCTTCTCTCAGCTTTGGATTGGTTTCATCCTAAGCTTCCTGCATAGTTGCAGATAGTTGCCAGGAATGGTCATGGTGTCCTCTTACAAAGCTCTGAAGGGTTGCCTTTCCTCCAGTGTACAAAGCCTCAAGCATGAAGCAGTTGAACCAACTTGAATAGCCACTGTGGTCAGGGAATGCCTTGTACTAACTGTTTTAGACCTAGGTTACTGCCCATTCCTGAGCCAGTCACAGGATGGGAGAGATGGACTGAGTGCTGCGGAGGCAAAACTAATAGTGCCCACTACCTGTGCCAATAGAGGACACTATAGCACAGGAAACTCAAATGACAATTATCCTTATCATTTATTTAGCTAATAGTCTTTAAAAGCTTATATTCTAATGCAGTTTTGTTTGTTGTTCAGGGAATTCATATTCCAAAACAAATATGGGAACTATACTGAATTAATATTTGACTCAGGCTAAGAAAATGCAATTTCCTTACTCAGTCTTTCTGTCTCTTTGCAGTAGCTTTATTGCATCCCCTTTCCTTTCCTTCATTCACTGAATAATGATTCAGTGTCAAGGTGCTTCAGTGTTATAGTTATAGTTATAGCAGTCTCTGGAGCCAGACTGCCTTAGTTCAAATCCCAGCTCACCTTTATTAACTTAGCCTTAACTCTGTCTTTTCATCTGTAAAACGGAGAAGAGAGGGTGAAAACAGCTAATATATGTAACTCCTAGAATTGTGTCTGATGCATAGTAAGCACTATACAATTATTAGCTATCATTAGCACTATATAAATTATTAGCAGTTTTTCTTCTTGTTCTAATAGGAGGAGTATGCAATGAAATTTGAAGCAAAAGTCTCCAAACTGTTTTAACAGTTATTTCTGGAAGGTAAAATTACAAGGGAGTTATCTATTCACTTTCAACAGTAGCTGTTACTATGATTTTGTGATTTGTTTAATGAGGCTGGCTCTGCTGTGTACCAGCTGTGTGGCCCTGAGCAAGGTATTTAACCTCTGTGCCACAAATTCTTCATTTGTAAATTCAGAGCACTTGGAGTTCCAACAATATAGAATTGTTAAGGAAACTGAGAATCTGTATAGACTTAGAGCAGCTGGCACTGTTAAATCAATCAGCGGTAGCTGTTATTATTTACTCTTTGGACACTGTGCTAGCCCAGTCCTTTCCAGGCCCCAAGAAACTCACCTTCTATATGTGGGTGAGATGGAGAGCTGGGTAAACAGTAGTTATCATAAAATGTGATGTGTGCTTCTGTCAGTCAGGAAACTAATTCACAGTGGCTTAAGCAAAAGGAAAATGTATTGATCATGTAACTAAAAAGTCCAAAGGTAGATCCTGGGTTGGAGGTGTTCATTGTCATCAGCCTCTACATTCCTGTGTTGGCTTTGATCTCAGGTGGGGTGTCTGTGTGTCAGCCCCTCAGCTCTCCAGCTTGCTTCTACCAGTTCAGCTGCCCCAGCAGAAAATAGTCTCTTTGCCAGCAGAAGTTCTGGAGTTGGCACAGGCTCACTCTGATCACATCCATCCTTGAAGCTGGGAGTGGCAACAACCCCACTTGAATCTCATGGACTAAGTTTGGTAAAGAAGCTGTTTCCCCAAAGGGGTTTGTTCTTCAGTGAGAAGTAACGAGAAGGGAAAACACGTTGTTGCTGGGCTGATGATAGCAATACTGCAAGGCTATTAATAACAGAGGGAATCACCTACTGCAGTGGAAGTGGGGATTACATCTGTCAAAATTTGGGAATGGAAGTTGGGGAGGCTGCAAAGATGAAGTGTATGGTCCAATCCCTATTTTCTCTTTTTTTCATTTTTTAATAGAAATGTAGCTGTTCTAAAATACTTGTTCCAGATGCTCAACATAGTGATTCAACAATTATATACATGACTAAGTGCTTACCATGGTAAATGTAGTTACATGCCTACAAAGAAATTACAGTATTACTGAGTATATTCCCTATGCTGTACTTCCATCCCCATGAAAAATTTATTTTATAATTTGCAGGTTGTACCTCTTTATCCCCTTCACCTGTTTCCCCTCACCCCTCAACTGGGTAACCACCAGCCTGCAATGAACAGAGGGGTGCATATATCTTTTCAAATTTGTGATTTTGTTTTCAGGTAAATTCCCAGAAGTGGAATTGCTCAGTTGTATGGGACTTCTATTTTTAGTTTTTTTGAGAAACCTCCATATTCCTTTCCACAGTGGCTGTACCAATTTACATTTCCAACAGTGTCCTAAGGTTCCCTTTTCTCCATATCCTAACATTTGTTATTTCTTATATTTTTTTATATTAGCCATTCTAACTGGTGGGAAGTGATAGCTCATTGTGGTTTTGATTTGCATTTCACTGATGATTAGTGATGTTGAACATCTTTTCATGTGCCTGTTGGCCATCTGTGTTTCTTCTTTGGAAAAATGTCCATTCAGGTCCTCTGCCCATTTTTTTTCAATTGGATTATTTTTGCTTTCTGGTATTAAGTTGTGTAAGTTCTTTATATATTTTGGATATTAACCCCTGATCTGATACATCAATTGCAAATATATTCTCCCACAGAGTAGGCTGCCTTTTTGTTTTGTTGGTTTCCTTTGCTGTGCAGATGCTTTTTGGTTTGATGTAGTCCCAAATGTTTATTATTGCTTTTGTTTCCTTTGCCTGTGGAGGCATCCAGAAAAAAGATGACTAATGCCAATGTTAAAGAGTTTTGTTTACTATTTTCCTTCTAGGAGTTTTGTGGTTTCAGGTCTTACATTTAGGTCTTCAATCCATTTTGAGTTTTTTGTGTATGGTATAAGACTGATCCAGTTTCATTATTTTGCATGTAGTGTCTAGTTTTCCAAACACCATTTATTGAAGAGAATGTCTTTTCCTCATTGCATTTCTTGTTTTATGGGTCATAGGAGATACCCTACTCTTTCTAGGCTTCTGGCTTTTGCTACCTCTTCCCATTAATTGAAGCTTTTCCTTCTAAATTCTCACACATAGAAACAGGGCTGGAGTTAACCAAAAATTGAAAGTAATGTATTTGCAGCAACCTTAGTGATAGTCAGCATTGTTATTTAAAAATACTTACTTGCATTGGTGTTTGAAAAACTCATTTAGCTGTGGGACATTTATGGTGTAATTAGGTCTGAGTTTACAAACAACACGATTCTCTTATTCTTTGGAGGACTAATAGTTGAAGCTAGATCCATTATATTGCATAAAAATTAAAATGACAAATGTTCATCCAAGGTACAGCTTTAGAGTTAAATAGGTGCCTGTACTTGTGCCGTGAGTAATTAACCCACCTGTGGCACTGGCTTAATTTTAAAGTGGCTCTTCAAGAGATTTAAAGCAGTTAAAAAGTTTGTTCTATTGAAAACTTTACAAAATGCCTGTGAATTTAGGAAGAGGACTTCTAATATGCAAAGAAAATTGTATGTGCTTAGTATTTCTCCTTAGCAAGTTTCTTACCAAGAAAACAGTGAGAATTATTTAAATGAGTCTTAACTCTGGCAAATTTTATGAGGTAACAAGAAAGAAATGCCTTTGTCCCCAGTGGAACCTCTGAAAACCTAATGGAAGGGTTGCAGAGGTTGTCTAACTGATCCTGTTTTTAGAAAGTGATACACCAGAGTTCCTCAGGGCTCTTATATAGCCTTCAAGACCATGTTTATGAGTGAGTTGGAGGAGTGTAAGAAAGGGAAATGCCAGAATCTCTGGAGGGTATCTGTTTGTTTTGAAAAGTGACCCTAGGAGTCTGATCCTCACCATTTTCCCCTCAGGAAACAAGTAAACAGACTTTGGCTGCTTGTCTGGTGACAAGCCAGACAGTCTGCCTTGGAGAAATGGAGAGTAACAATAGGAAACAGAAGAAAAACAAAACTTTTTATTGCCCTTTCCCCTAAAATTCAAAGGGATAGCATAGAAGAAAAAACTACCTAAGTGAGCAGAAAGAAACCTAATCAAGCAGTAGAAAGCTGTTTGCAAGCGGGTAAATAGACAAGAAAGTCAAGTGGTGTTCTGGTGTCTGGCAGGCCCTGTTTGGAAACCTAGTACCAGTTTGATGATTTGGGCTATTATTTTACATCTCTATCACAGTTTTATCAGTAAAATAAGGAAATTTGAGCTTTAGAAAGGATTAAATGAACTATTATATGTCAAGTACTTAGCAAGTGTTCAGTAAATGACAGATGCTATTATTTGACTATTTTTGTAAGCCAGAGGGCACAACTGAAACCAAAATCTAGGTGTGCCAATGCCCAGCCAGTGCCTTCTCTTTTTATCACACAGACCTATACTTAGTGAGACCCCTGAATCCACATTAGCATCTTTTAGTAATCACTCTGAGAAAGCTCAGTAGGAAGACTCAGACCTGTGTTTATCATCTATAGGAAAAAAGGAGTGTTGGAAACATTCTCCGGAACAGAAACCAACAAGATCTGGCCCTACGTATATGCTTTCCTACAAACCAAAGTTCCACAAGCAAACCAGCAATCATCAGCTACTCCATGAGGAAAAGGGCATAAAACTACTAAGATAAGCAGATGCTCCTTGTCCTAAGCTGGCATGTATGAATTTTTTGAAAACTATATGGTTTCATTTCTACTGATTTTATTTTGTAAATTGAAAATGTGCCAAATGAGTCAGATACTACAAAATTCATCTTTTGAAATTGCCTAGTGTGTTCTATCCAGTTATCTTGATGTGTGTGCAATTCAAAAACATCTAGATGTCTAAACTTTTGAAAAATCTTTTAGAGCATAATGAAAAGAGCAATTGGTAGTAATCTAACTTGTTCAGAAAAGCACCTGCTTGTAAAGGTTTCTTTGCCAAAAAAAGCTATCTTTAGCACTGTAGTACATGGTTTTGTGAGATTAACTATTCTATAAAATTCCAGGAAAAAAGCAACTGGATTTACAGTTTCATTCCAGGATGCAAATTCACTGCTGCCTTTACATATGCTATATTTATTGTTAGATACCTTCAGTTTACTCAGAATTTTCAGTTTGCTATAAAAATGTATTAATTAGCCAATAGGAAAATATTACTTTCCTCTCTTCTTTTGAAAATATATGTGTACTGAGGAATATGATTTCTTAGAAATTGACATTGTCCAAGTTCTTGCAAACACCTAAGTTGAATTTCCAAAGGAAAATATAATTAAAATCTTATGTTTTCAGATGTTACTCACATTAAGAAATGTGTGCTTTAGGATCTACTTGCCAGTTTCTCTTTTTGATCAAAATGTATGTTCAGCCTTGATGAGGAACACAGTACAAAAAATCACAGTGAATAAAAGAAAACCCACAGTACTAGGCAAAGCAAGCATACTCTGTCATTAGGAAATAGATCAGGTAAGCCTGGGGAAAACCCCTTGACATATATAACAATCATAATTAGCAAATAGGTGTAATAATTAAAAGGATTTACATGACCATTTAAAAAAAACAGGAAAATTATTGAGTTTGCTTAAGTTCTTTATTCCTAATCAAAGAAGGTGACACCTCCTGGAACTTAAATTCTATCACCTGGCAGGGAAGGAACTCTGCAGATGTGTATAATTTGAGCAGCCATATTAAAATGAAACTGATCCCATTCCTTAGTGTGGCAATGAGGGTGCGTGCTTATATACTGGCAGGGAAAGCAGGGCAATATGAGAGAGAGAGGAGAAACCTGACCATATCTTTAATGGCATAATTTACCCTTACTTGGTGCTAAATCAAATAAAACAAATCCTTGTACAAGCTGTTACTACCTTTGTAAATCTGACCCATTTTATTCCAGGCCATTACATACAAATGCCAGCAAGTGGTTCTTATGCATTTTGTGGGGGAAAAACTTACTTTCTTCTTGATTTTTAAAAATTCAATGTTGATTTTTTAAAAAGGACCAAGGTTTTTAAAAAGGACTGTGGTAAATAATTCATTCTTTCAACATTTTTAACACCTTATTTGTATGTTAATATTACATGCTTTCTAAAAATGTTGTGAACTACTAAACTTATGAATTATCACTAGGTGATCAGGCATACATCAGTATTAAAGTATTACAATAAAATTCCATTTTAGGACTGTGGCTATTCCATTTAGGACTGTGGTATTTCATAGGGTCTAATCCATCCCACCTTCTGTTCTGCTGCCCTGATATCTCACTGGCTTCTGAATTGGTGGCTGCTTTCTAACAACTGTCTTCAAGCAGTATGTAGGCTGGCTTCATTTTGTTGTATCTCCTGGTAAAGTACTGCAGCCACACTGGCTTTCTGAACACCTTTAGATCTGGAAATCAAAAATAGTAATAGAACAAGACTATGGATATTAAGACTCTTCTTGCCTGTGAGCATTCCCTTCCCATCCCCAAGATACTTAACCCAAAGTTTTGCACTTGCTCCCTTTCTTTGGTGAACACCTGCACTATTACTTTTATAGTATCATTAATATACAGCCACATGAGCAACATTGTGGTTACTAGATTCCCCCCATTATCAAGTCCCCACCACAATTACTTTTTTCTTTTTTAAACACGAACTTATTTTAGGCTGAATGAATTGATGTCATAGACAGTTTTAATGAAGATTATCATTGCTGAGGAGCACATTCTGCTAAAAAACTATGCTGCTGCAATGATCCTTGTGATTTATGTGCCACATGGAAATATGTCAGAGGTGAATGCCATGACTAGAAGCTACTATGCCTTAAAGGCTAAAAAGTTACCTCAGTTATTTTGGTATACCTTTCATAAGCAGAATGTGCTGTGGGAAGTGCAAATTGGCCATTAGTACCATCCAGAAATTTTATTTTTCACTTCTACTTGAAATTGAATACTGGCTCAAATTTCTAAACTGCAGCCCAAAGTGACAATTCCCACAGATACTTACAGTGGCATTCCAGAAAAATATTTTGGACACTCATAATTTGTGACAAAACTTACCTATGTTAACAATAAATCATGGTAATTACAAACCTTTGATTATATGAGATTGCTGTACTTGCAACCGAAAGCAAGAATGTTTTTGTGTTTTAAAACACATTTATGTCTTCTCATTGACAAAATATTCCAGATACTAGTAAATTACAGAAATAGCTTTCTTATTTTGCAATTCAAGGTTTTTTTGGAAGCTTAAAAAATTTAAAACACATTAAAAACCTACAGTATGCTTTGTACAATTCATACCCCACTCTACCTGCCCTTTCTTAAGCTAATGAGTATGTCATTTTCCATATATATAACACTAACATTAAATTGTCATGCCAGATTGCACTTTGGAAGGATTTTACCAAAGTGTAAATCAATCTGGTGTGTGTCAGACTTTATGGATAAAGTGTTTGAAGAGTAAATATAGCAGGAAAATCATGCTGTTTTAAGAAACCAAATGAAAGATGTGGGAATTTTATCATTTCACACTTAGAAAAGATTAAACTTCAAGTCTAATTCTTCAAGACCTGTGAGAATGGTTTCATTATTAGACTGATTATTAGATGGTAGGTAACTCATAATCAACTTTTATTCATCTTTTATTCCCCGCCTCCATTAGCTTACATAGTAAGCAAGTGAATACTTAAGAGTCAAGTTCTGAAAATACCTGTGAAATAATACAGACATGTCCATACAGATAGGAAATGGATGCATAGGATTTTAGGAACTTAAACATTTAACATAGTGGCACAATTGAAAAGCCTGACCTTAAACCAGACAAGTTTCTGTCCCCATCAATTTAAGAACTGAAATACATGATTGATTTTGAAAACAGTAAATTGACATCTTTTCTCTGAAAACACCCCAAAGTTAACCTAAATATCATTTTGCCTAAACCCACAACCAGTCTTTTCACCCTGTAAGAAAACCTATTTAGCTGAACTAGATTCATGTTCTTTGGGCAGCATTCACTTCTAATTCACTTTTAAAAGGATAATAGGAATGGTAGATCAAATTCTCCTAGAGATGTTATAGATTGTGAGCTCACTAGGCAAAATTTGAAAAGAGCCCACTAATGATATAACTGAATGATAATGTTACCCATCTATGTCTCCTAGAGAATAATTTAAAATCAGTATTATCTCCACTACTATTGAAAAAATGATAGTGAGTTAAACAACAAATGCAGTGATGGCTCTTTGATTTTTAAGGAATCTTTTCTTAGAATATTAATTTTATCAAATAAAATAATCTTTGGTGGATACTTTGATGCCAAGAATTTTTCATTTATCTGTTTGGACTTTTCCTGGCTTGTGTAATTTGTTCACAGAAAAAATTTTTCAATCTGAAATAGTAAGTATCCCTTGTTTAGTATACTCTTATTATTTCTTAAGATCAGAACATTTTTTTTTACTAGTAGTTTTAGTTACTAAAGCAAAATAAAAGTAAAAAAGATGTCGATTTACTGTTCTTAGTACTAAAGTACTGCTAAATATGTAAAATTTATTGTCTTTAAGTGCAAATTATGATATCAGTGGGTCTCCAAACTAATAAATTCACACTTTCCCATTCAAAACAGAACACTTTCTTTTGAAAGTAAAAAAACATGTAACCAAATTTTAAATAGTTCTTCCAATAATTCCTGTTTTAGGAAACAAAAACCCTCCAGGAATAGTTCCCTTAGTTTGTTGATAATTTCTTTCCTCCCAGTCTTTGGTCATTAATGTCTAACTTAGAGAAGGCAAAATGAAATTCAACATAATTTGGTTACTTACAGGTAAACCCTGGGAAAAAATGAAATTGAGGAATGCAAAGTAATGGTTCAAGTAACATTGCTGTCAAACCATGGATTTTACTCCTGTGTCTATTCTTTGTTTGATAGGAAGGGAAAAACAAGAGCTTGCTCCTGAACAGAAAAGGAAAAACCTCTATAACCAGGTCACTGGTTAAAAAAAGAAAAATTACAGGCTGATGAATACTATCATATAAATTAGTCAAACATTTTATTATAGAGTATTTATATCAAAAGCACAAAGTTTTATTCTGAAAACCAGGAAGACCGTGATGTTACAGAAGTATGATTGAGTAATTTGAACCCATCCCTGTGAGTACTATGTGCCTTATCAGCTTGGTTAAAACAAGGTCACAGGTCTGATCACCTTATGGGTCCCTTATTATTATTTGGTTTTTCAACTTGAACCATCTATTCCCAATCCCAGTCAGCTGTCTTCCAAATGTTTGCTACTCATATCAGTGGGCTTGGGCCGAGACTACATACACCCAATACAAATCAAAGCTCATGATCCTATAAGCCAGAAGATTACTCCTCAAATAATAAGCACTGTCATCTAATTCCAAATAAAATAAATCATCAAATACACTGGCATATTTGACGTGAGTTATATAGGAAGTAATAAAGCTCGGAAGCATTCTGTGTTAACTGAACTAGAGTGAAGAATGACAAATGTAGTAAAAGCCATCATAACCAACAAGGATGACCAAATTCTTAGAAATAAGTAGTTGGCAGCTTGAGGCAGTTAGCTTTACAAGATTTCTCTTGCCTTTTAAAAAAGTCCTTGTGCTACATCAGAATGAAACAAAAATAAAGCATACATTAAAAAAAATCAGATTATCCCTGTTTGTTCTTACAGGCCATTAGTACTCTTTTAAAACTTGCTCCCTGAGACACCCCAGACTATGTCAAGTGAAGAAACTAAGAGTGAGCTTGAAGTTCTCTTAGTCAAAAAAATCTGTACTAGCTATATCACTTTTTCTATCACTATAACCCTTAACATTAAAGTCAACAGGGAATATTAACTTCTATGGAATAGTTTTGAAAGTATTTACAGGGTAAATTTCGTGTCTGTATGGCACTGATATTATACTCAAGGATTTAACTGATGGTGCCGAAAATATAAATGTTGTATTTTTTTAAAGGGGAAGACTTTAATTTGTACTACCCATCTTATTTAGTAAAGTAGATTATCAACTACTGATTTATTGCTTTTAATATGATGAAACACCAGATTTGACAGCTAAATTAGGATACAAGTACAGTTTTATGTTTAATCATTTTGTAGAGCAGGACATGTATATATCCATATAAAAAGAGACTGTAGCAGATGCCTCCTAGAATCAACCAGTTCTTGTAAACATTGCATTTGTGCAGATTTTTATATTTTGATTCCAAAATTGAGAACAGTTAAGATTAAAGGCAAATTTAGTAGCCACACACAAAAAAAAGGTCCAGTTTGACTTCCTGCAACCTATGGTACCACTCCTCTCTTCAGAGAAAAAAACAAAACAAACAAAACAAAAACTCTAGCAGCACATAAAAAAAATTTTACAAAACGTTTCAGTACTCTTTTTTTTCCCTCCCATCAAAAACCGAACAAAAATAAAGTGCAGCACCCATAAAAGTGTCGAGAAAATAGCCAAGTTCTTCCTTTCTTGTAACAAAATAGTACTTGGCCTCAGCAGTCTTAACCACATTATACAGTGTCCATCATTTTGGGTTCATCATCTTCTTTATGTACCACTGAGTTTAAACTGCAAAGAGCTGTATTGATAGAATACTGAAGATAATCTGGATTCTGGAAAAAAAAAAGTACAGGGAAGAAACAATGAATGATATATAATCAGTTTTATGCCAACACATGCAACTACATATTCATTTTCACATTCCCCATGTCTGCAGTAGGTAGGAAAGAAGATGGGTTGTGAAGTCAGACTTGGGTTTAAACTCAAAAAGTAGGAAAAAAGCAAGACTATTACCACTTAATTCAAAGCAATGTGACAAAGACTGACTGATACATAAAAAAACAGAAATATAATACACACTTTTTTTTCCTTTTAACAAAACTGTGTAATTTAAATTATTTAATCATACAAGGCTACATCTTCCACTGATTCTATGTACATAGTGATTGATAATGTAAAAGATAAATACAGCTTTAAGCACGTATTTTGAAAACTACTACCTAACTACAACAGTAAGTACTAAAAAAAGCAAAACACTTGAATAATGAAAAAATACATTCGTTGAGTAAAAATTATAGCTACTTTCAGAGTCTATTTTGGTTTCTCACAGGTTAAAACAAACTCAACTGAGAAATGATTAAACTTTTGAGAGTACTTAGACACAGAGTAAAAAAACTGACAATG